ATCAGGATTGCATTTTACAGAGAGGCTGAAAGGTAGGGTATGTACAATTCCAGTGTCTGTAACTATTAGAAGCAAATCTAAGAAATATTAGAAGCAAATCTAAGAAAAGGAGATGTTCAGGTCTATTCCCAGAGCTTGCAACTACAGACGTACCTTGGTACCAAGGTCCAGCAAACTCTCCTTGTCAGGACATATGCCTGATCAGGATTGCATTTTACAGAGAGGCTGAAAGGTAGGGTATGTACAATTCCAGTGTCTGTAACTATTAGAAGCAAATCTAAGAAATATTAGAAGCAAATCTAAGAAAAGGAGATGTTCAGGTCTATTCCCAGAGCTTGCAACTACAGACGTACCTTGGTACCAAGGTCCAGCAAACTCTCCTTGTCAGGACATATGCCTGACCCCAGACCACCAAGGGCATAAGCAGAACGTATCATGACTGGGTAGCTGATCTTTTCAGCTGCCTTCAGAGCATCTTCAACCTTAAAGGAGAGGAGGATATATTTCAGAGATATAACAATAAAGATGAATACAGTCTTCAACTCTGGCTACACGGTTAACTGAAATCCCATCAGTGAAATACTGAGCTATCTGAAGATAAAATGAAAAGAATCAGAGTTGGGTTTGTAGCTCTGCTTTGTTCTGCTGACTTTCCATGGACAATGTCCTTACCTGGTCTGTCTTCACAGGCTGTAGCGTGACATAACCCCTGCAAGAGGTCCCAGTTTAAGACCTGTTTGGTTTCCTCCAGACTCAGACAGGCCTTCCCACTGAACCAGTTTTTTGTTTTCACACTCTCATCCTTAAGGATTTCAATCCTGCTGATTTGGAGGACCTGAAACCCTCAGTCTAAATGGCTTGTGCAACATTAAAAAAAAGTAGCCACTGACATGTTATCTATTTTTGTGCTGCAGCACAGAAGTCACCCCGACCTAATTTACTTTTCTTGTCAATGGGTAAATTAGCTTAGACTTTCCAAGGGCTTAATTGCATTTTCATTCATTTTAAATCACGGTGAGCCAGCATCAATCACTGCGGAGCACTGATGAAAGCGTACAAACTACAGGATCCACAGTTGCATTCATCTTTCACTCTACAAAACTAGATTTTTTTTTTTGTAATAACTCAAATGAGCAACATTAATAGCAATCACATCTTCAAAATCATTTGATTTACCGATTCCACTGCAAAGCTAGGAGCAATCTTTTCATTTAGCTCAGTCAGTTTATCAGAAAAAAGCTTTCTATCCTCTGTAGCCATGATGGATTCAACTGATGTACCTAGGACCTTCACACCATACTCCTGCAGGACTCCTTGCTTGAAGAGTTCCACTCCTACGGAGTAAACAAAGCCACGGTTGTGAGGACTGATGCTAGATGAAGAAGAAAGTATTGAAAAGCTATCTGAGAGAAAAGAAAGCTGACAATTAGTCTGGCCTCATCAACAGCTGATTCTATTATGCTTTGTCAGTATTAGAACTCAGAAACATTACACGAAGGTTTCTGTCCTCAGATCTATGAAACCTGGAATAGTAGTAAAGGTACTGCTGGGCCACCATCTGCACACAAAACAAAGCAGTGAGGTTGGATACTGCTGTAAGAAGCTAAATGAAACTAACTTTTCCTTTGGATCCCCGCCTCAAGGTGGTCTGAATATCTCCAATCCAGCCATAACAACTAAGACTTAAGCTGAAAAAAGCAGGACACATTAAATACTTTTAAGTATCAAACCCAGCAATTAGATGTTACCTTCACAGCTTAGCGATTACTCACTCCTCCCAGGGACGGAATCTCTGCCTGCAGCCCTCAGCAACCCAGGCAATAAATCAGGCACGTGGGTCTCGCATCTCTGCACAAAGTCTGCTGAGCAAGGGGTAAAACCTGCGGGTTTGCCCGCCAGGAGTGCCAAGGCGCCTGTATCGTACTTACCGCAGTTGAGAGCGGTCTGGCCACCCATGCCCAGAATTAGCCCATCGGGACGCTCCGCCTTGATGACCTCTCTGACAAACTGCGGCGTGATGGGGAGGAAGTAGACAGCGTCAGCCTGCTTTAAGCCAGTCTCATTGGTCTGCACCGAAGCAATATTGGGATTCATTAGGACAGTTTTCACATTTTCTTCCTGAAACATTAAAATCTGCATTAGAATTAGGCACACGTGGAAAAAGAGCTAACAGCACCAGCAGCAAAGGAGAGAGAGGGTTCAACAAACAATCTACCAACAGCGGAATTTGACAAGCCTGGTTCCTCATGAATCTTCCCACAAGGGATTTCTGTATCTTGGTTTTCTGCTGCCAAAACCAGCACACTGAGCTAACGCCAACTCTTTACTTCTGTGTCCCCGCTTGCCTGTGAATCTTGAGGGAATGGAGGTTCCCACCCACGAGATGTGGTTGTGGCTGAAGTTGTTCAACCTTTAGGAGTTACACAGGGGAGACAGGAACAAACTCCAGCATCATCATGTCTGTCTTCAGTTGGAAGTCAGACTAAAAGCGTCAAAGCAAAATAACATTGAATCAAAACCCAAACTTTTCTTGCAAGCAGTAGGAGCACAGGTATCCAGGAGCTCTCAGATTTTTGTACGCACTACTGATAGCGCAAGAATACAGTTTTTGCTGACTTTCCATAAGAATACTCTAACTTACCTGGCGTTAGCACTTTAAAAATCTTGTCCCATAGCCTTTTCATGTGCTATTGCACACACAAAAATACTAACTCTGCCTCTATATGCAAGACAATGGTCAAAACTCCACATTTTTTCTCTAGCACAGATGAGAAATTGAGACAGTGGTAATAAAGTTTACCTCTTTCCTGCTATACCAGTGGGAGTTCTGCCACTCGTTTGGCTACAGAGAGAACTTCACTACTGTTTGCTCATTAATAGAAAAGTCGAGTTAGAGTTGGGCAGACCAACTCTCCTCACTCTTATTAGTGCGTAACGAGGAAGCCAACCAAGTTTTGCTAATGATGATGAGACCAGAATTTGGCCAAGCTTAAAACTCCAGGCCAACCACGACAAGATGAAGAACAATCTATTACTGCTTTGTTGGAAAGGTGGACTGGGAAGTGCAAAGGCTGTGGCCTCACCTTTATAGGAACTCGTTCTAATCTCCATCAACTTCTTGTAAGGCAATCAACTTCTACAAACAAACAAACCGTTTGCAAACAACGCTAGAGATGCAAAATACACTCAAAGACAAAGATTTGCTATGTGGAAGTTGTGGAGGTTAAGCAAAAATGACGACTACCATTAAAAACAGCAATGGTGGCGATATTTTACAAAGAGTAAAAAGAAACAGGAAAAAGGTTGGTGAGAATGAGTTAGCCACTCCTTGAGCAAACGCTAGGGAAGTGTTGCTGAGACCAGTATAGAAATTGCTATTTTTCTCCAGTTCATTATTGTGAAGCATGAAAACATGACAGGGTTTTTCTGTGTTTGTTTAAAATCTGTGACTGCTTGACCCAATGGTTTGGGGGAACAAATACATAGAACACGTGGAGCAGTGGGATCCCCACTCAGAGCCCTGACTGCTCAGTTCAAGTTCTGGGTAACATTTCTTCTCCTCCCTTTGATAACTTAAAACACTGCCTTAAAGACTGACTGTAAATTTCTGCTGACCTTTTTTCCCCCCATTAAAAGTTGCATTTTTTTTTTTCCACTGAAGCACACTTTCCTTGGCAATGCATGGAAAACAGAGAAGGGAAAGAAGAGAGAAAATCCTTATGGAAAATATTTCTGATTTAGACAAATGGCTCCGAAGTGGGTAGTTTTCATGGCAGTGCTGAGGGAAAAGGGTAGATCTGTGACCAAAACATTCTTCTCTAATAATCGTATTGAGAAATTCTTAGCTCTAATTCCGCAGTAACGAATAGGGGAGGGAGAGGTGTATCTGTACATCTCATCCCTTTCTTTCCCGCTTATCTGGGGCAAGGTGTCTCAAGGACCAGCTAGCAGTGATGAGGAAGATAATTAATGACATAATTAATGCTCACTGCGCTAAGAGAGATATATTTCACTGAGATCACATCCTCTGGCCCAACTGTTCAGGATGTGGGATTTTAATCCACTTGCTGTTTGCCCTTGCAACCCTTTCCTTCCACTTCTGCCTTTTTAATATTTTATAAGCATGCAGTACTCTGCGCAACAGCAACCCATCCTGATTGGAGAGCTCTGTTACAACTTCATTAAAACAGTGAACTAGGAACACTCCAGGAGGGCTCCATTTCTCTTTTTGTCTAATATCCACTAGTATCCAGAGGATTTGGGAGAATCCCCACAGGCGGCAGGATCCAGAAGGCTTTTCAGGTGACCACAAGCCGGTCCTTGTTGTCCACAGATGCTTCCAGGTCTTGTTCTTCAGAGGATGTTCCTGCCTTTGATGAACTTTCTTGCAAATACAAATTCACTGACAGGGGAATTCCCAGCTCCACAGGATTTTACTCTTTTAAACAGGCACCCACTTAACTGCATATGACTGAATATCATACAACAGCACCTTCTTATAATGAACTGGATCCAAGAGACTAGGAAGAACAGCAGAATGAACCCAAACATCAGCAGTGATAATCAGTGTTCATTATTTATAACAAAAAAAAAGAAAAAGAAGTCTAAGGTGAAAGAAATCTCTTTTGTCCGCTCTTAATCGTCCCTGTGCTCTCCCACCTTTTCCCCTGGCAGCCACTGACCAACTGCCTTCTCTCTTGCCTGCAACTGTAAATCACTCTGCCAGAGGCAAGGTCAGGAAGCGTGAGCGGTGCCGCTGGAATGGCTGATTAGCCTGCAGATCAGAGCAGCTGGCTGGTGGCCACGGGAAGGGAAAGGGCATTGTGGGAGGTCAAGCTAGGGAGATTTATCATTAAAAAACCCCGCTTTCTTCCACAAACCAGAGCTGAGTTTGAAGGACGAGAGGAAAAAAAAGGGAGAGGGATGCCTCCTTTCCAACTCAGGTCATCATCTGGACTGATGAATTCTGGGGTCCTCCACTCCTGACCTGTTCCTGTTTTCTCCATGATGAGGCCAGCAACAGCAATACAGTACACAAACAAAGCACATACAATATAAGATGAGTTGTGGGGCCAACCCAGAGCAACCCCAGATTATATTTAAGACTACTGTAATAGATTTTTTCCTTCCTTGACTCCTGGGTCAGCACAGGAATAGAACGGCCTGACATCAGAAGAGCTCCCAACCATCACCTCGTCTGAAGGCTGCTGCTACAACCACTCTGAATCTGGCAGACAGACCTCTGCAAGTTCTCTCCTCCTTCACACAAGGTTGGACATGAACTAGGGGCCCATGTAATGCAATAACCCCGTCACAGGAACATCGCTATGCTTCTACACCTTCTCCTAGCAGAGGCATTTCCCCTAACACCCTTTCTAGGTGCTTTGCACTTTTGCAGCACGGAGCAGCCAGAGCGAATTAGGCCCCAAAGCCCACCACGTGAGCGCACCATGCAGGACGCTGCAGCACAAACACCCTTTTAAACGCATGCGTTTCTCAGGCACGTACAGAAGTACACATGCCTTTTTGTTTGCTTCAGGATAACACAGCTCTCCCATCTTCAGAAAGGGAACATTGGAAAGTGGGTAATAAGATTACTGGACAAAATTCAGCCAAAGGAGTGACTTTTCATTCATTCCTTTCAAGATTATGAACCTATTCTGGAAACAAACTTGGTATACATGAACTTTAAAAAGTTCATTGAATTTAAAATAAATACCATTCATGAAAACTGACTTGATAAAGGGTTCAAAATCTTTTGTGTAACAGCCTTGGCAGTAGCCAACCGTTTAGCTGTGGCTATTACTTGTCCACCTTGCAGTGTATTGGCATATCACAAGAGTTTCAGTAATTCCAGCTCAGGTGTAGCTGACCATATTCCTTCTCTTCATTTCCATTC